GGTCAAGTTTGTACTTGACCCTTCAACATTTGACACTTCAATTGGATTATTTTTCCTTGGAAAATATAGAATACTGAAAAGGTTGGAATTTTGAGAAATATTGAAAAATAACTGCAGGATAGAACAGCTGAACGATGTGAAGTTGGAATGATTTGATTCTGGAGAGAAATGAGACAGGGCTAGCTAAAATTGCAATTTTAATTTTGGGATTTTGTAAAAAAAAAAAAAAGTGAAGTACTAAAAAAGGTATTTGAAGGAATATGAAAATTATTTAACAACAAATCATGAATGACCCGAACAATTAGAAACAGAAATAGTGTGGATAATAACTGAATAAGTAGAGCAATAGGAATGTATGAATTAAACTTTAAATTGTTCGAGTCATTTTAAAGCGATTGTTTTTTTTTTTTAATGGAAATGTGAAATTGTGGGAAAAGTAGGGATTTCATGAATGTAAAAAAAGTTTCCTTCATGTCCTTAATGAGCTGTTTGAGGAGGTAAAAAGTGGAGGACCCCCCCCCTTCAAAGCCAAGCCACCTCCCACTCTTGCGGACGGACGCTAACCTGATTGGTGCTTTCCACCTTCCATCACAGCGCTTAGCATCTAAACAACCAATCAGCTGGCAGCAATGAGCAACCGCCGCACGAGCCCGGATGAGACTCAAACATGCAGCTGTTCCGCTAAAAATTCAGTGGCTGTGAGCGTCAATGGTCATTTACAGGGAAGACACACACACGCACACACTCACCCGAGTGTGTTGGCTGCTAATATGACAATTTTTTTTGTGTTGAAAAGAGCTTCGTGTTTTCTTTCACCCTTCTCGCTCCCGTTCCGGCTGCGTGTTTGAACGCTCAACTGTGGCAGCCTTGAGGTTGTTTTGAAGATTGTGGCAGCTTTTTTTTTCCATTACTCGCGGACTGAAGGGGAAACAAACGATAGGAAGCTCTTATTGAAAACCGCACCGGTTGTAACGGACTTATATCATCCATAAGAAGACAGAAAAAGGGAAACGGAGACTTGTCTGGACATTTATTGACTGAAAGAATCGCAAAAATGGTCTTCCTTTGGGACGCCAAATACGGTACACTACTCATTATTTTTTATTGATTATTATTTCTATTATTACATTATCAAGTGAAGTGGTTTTGAAATGGATCGATCCGAATGAGGTAAATTGAATGACAGACATCAAATTTAGCACAAAAAGAAAAACAGCAGTGCAAAAAAAAAAAAAAAGATTATGCATTAATGGGTAGTCAGAGTGATTATTTTTTTACACAATTTATTTTTTTACTTGGAGTTGGGGGTGGGGTAAAAAAATGCTAGCTAAAATTGCAATTTTAATTTTGGGATTTTGTAAAAAAAAAATAAAAATGTGAAGTACTAAAAAAGGTATTTGAAGGAATATGAATACACAATTTATTTTTTTACTTGGAGTTGGGGGTGGGGTAAAAAAATCTATTTTGACGTAATGATTTAATGTAATTGAACTTATTGACGATAATGTTAAAATATTAATTTATTCAAGTACAATGAAAGCAATATCGGTACTGAAGTAGAACTGATTTGACTTTGCTATGTTAAAACGTATGTGCTATTTTGAAATTATTTAACAACAAATCATGAATGACCCGAACAATTAGAAACAGAAATAGTGTGGATAATAACTGAATAAGTAGAGCAATAGGAATGTATGAATTAAACTTTAAATTGTTCTTAGATGCATACTTTATTAATCCTAGCAGGTAAATTAAGTCCTTTTTATTTTTTATTTTTGTATTTTTTAACAATGACACTCATTATTGTAATAAGGTTTGAAGCCGATACCGTGCATTAGTTATCATTATAGTGGGCAAGTGGACCAAATATTGTGACCGGCGAGTTTGAAATATGCGCTAAATCTGTCTTACTCTGGGTAGTAATTTTAGGTATGAGATTTGAGCACCAAGATGACTTTTTTTTTTTTTAAAGTGTGATGAAATTGCTTCATGCCTTAATTGTGAAAATATCTCACTGTTCATAGTCCAGGTCTGCATATATTTCTTGTATTTGTGTTTCCAGCTTTTCGTAATTATTCCGGAGCACATTTTCATTCTGATTTGTCAATCAATGTCTCTTCCAGACCCCTGCCCTGGCCGGCGCTACACTCCCCCGTCCACCACCCTTGCCTCGGGGGGAAAGATGGCCGAGGCCCTGGGTGCCCAGGAGGCCGGAGGCGGAGCATCGCTGGTGGGCAAGTTGCGCATGGCCGACCGTGACATGGTAAGATGGACGCTCGTGGCCCCTTGTTCATGTTTTTATTATGTTTTAGCAAAACTAAATACTTGATCATTTATCTGGCAGGTGCTGTCAGATCATCCGGGCGAGCTAGTGAAGACAGACAGTCCCAACTTCTTGTGTTCAGTGCTGCCCACACATTGGAGGTGCAACAAAACCCTGCCTATTGCTTTTAAGGTCAGAAAGCTTACATGCGTCCTCTATTTTTTGCACACATTTGGATGATCTTTGCTGCTTGTAAGAAGACCCGAGATCAAGAGTGTCATTTTTGTCGCAAGTCACAGAGGAGTTATGACAGGAAATTTGTCATCGTCTTCTCATATTATGACAAATAGCAAATAGTTTTCTAATCTGAAGTCAAGGAAAATACTTTGCTCAACTATTGTTCGATTAACTTAAAATTAAAACATTAACTTTCGTTGTCACCAAAAATGCTTTCAATGTTTTAAACCCGAAGACCATTGACAGTTTATTCCAGCAAAAAATATGAAGAGGGAGCATTTGAATTGCTTTAACAGGCCAGAACAAGTGATGTGATGTGATGGGCTGGATCCTATTTTTTATTGATTATGATTTCTATTATTACATTATCAAGGGTTGCGTTTCAAGTGAAGTGGTTTTGAAATGGATCGATCCGAATGAGGTAAATTGAATGACAGAGATCAAATTTATCACAAAAAGAAAAACAGCAGTGCAAAAAAAAAAGATTATGCATTAATGGGTAGTCAGAGTGATTATTTTTTGACACAATTTATTTTTTACTTGGAGTATCTGTCTTTCCCAGTGATGTAGAATGACAGGCAGAACAATGATATTCTCTTTCACGAGATGCTGGAAGATACATTTAACCTGTGTACCCACTTGACACAATTTATTTTTTACTTGGAGTTGGGGGGTGGGGTAAAAAAAAATCAATGTTGACGTAATGATTTAAAGCAATTGAACTTATTGACGATAATGTTAAAATATTAGTTTATTCAAGTACAATGAAAGCAATATTGGTACTGAAGTAGAACCGAATTGACTTTGCTATGTTAAAACGTATGTGCTATTTTGATAAGAGATACATACTTTATTAATCCTAGCAGGTAAATAAAGTCCTTTTTATTTTTTATTTTTGTATTTTTTTTAACAATGACACACATTATTGTAATAAGGTTTGAAGCCGATACCATGCATTGGTTATCATTATAGTGGGCATGTGGACCAAATATTGTGACCGGCGAGTTTGAAATGTGCGCTAAATCTGTCTTACTCTGGGTAGTAATTTTAGGTATGAGATATGAGCACCAAGATTACTTTTTTTTTTACTACAAGTCACATGACTGCAAAAAAAACAACCAAAAAAACAATTATTTAACTGCTACATTATCAAACGCACATTTGAGCCAACGCCATTCGATGCACGTCATAGATTCCAGTAGTTGTCACTGTTCATATTCCAGGTCTGCATATATTTCTTGTATTCCAGCTTTTCGTAATTATTCCGGAGCACATTTTCATTCTGATTTGTCAATCAATGTCTCTTCCAGACCCCTGCCCTGGCCGGCGCTACACTCCCCCGTCCACCACGCTTGCCTCGGGGGGAAAGATGGCCGAGGCCCTGGGTGCCCAGGCCTCGCTCGCGGGCGCTCACACTTGCGAACACGCACGGTTGCGCTGTGTCACACATCCTAATGAAGCACCAGTTACACATTCCCGATAACAGATTGTTGTTATGATGCAAAAAAGCTATATATTGTTTTTTTTCTCTGCATTGAGTTGACTTCTGAACCATTTGTCAAAGGCTCATATTTTAAAAGGTTGGATTTTTATTAGGCTGTCATTGTCCTGTTTGAATTGGGATGCTAGAGTGTTACGCTGACAAGCTGAATGTTGCCCACATTTGGATGATGTTTGCTGCTTGTAAGAAGACCCGACATCAAGAGTGTCATTTTTGTCGCAAGTCACAGAGGAGTTATGACAGGAAATTTGTCATCGTCTTCTCATATTATGACAAATAGCAAATAGTTTTCTAATCTGAAGTCAAGGAAAATACTTTGCTCAACTACTGTTCAATTAACTTAAAATTAAAACATTAACTTTCATTGTCACCAAAAATGCTTTCAATATTTTAAACCCGAAGACCATTTACAGTTTATTCCAGCAAAAAATATGAAGGGGGAGCATTTGAATTACTTTAACGGGCCAGAACAAGTGATGTGATGTGATGGGCTGGATCTGGTTCCTGGGCCTTGAGTTTCATACCACTGCCTGACCTCACTTGCATGCGAATCCAAACCACTGTGTCAATATACTGTGAGGTGTGAAATGATGCATGTATAATTGCACTTAATTCATTTGAAAGTATCTATTTAGGACAAATACTGGAATTTATCTTTACCCGTCTGTCTTTCCCAGTGACGTAGAGTGACAGGCAGAACAATGATAGTCTCTTTCACGTGATGCTGGAAGATACATTTAACCTGTGTACCCACTTGTTGGCATTCATTGCTTTGTGTTGACACTTTGTCAGTATAACAAGACAAAATGATTATTTCCATTTATATACTCTTTGTGACATTTTTCTTGACCATGGGAGATTATTCCTCATGTAAAATATATGCCATGGCTCATTAAAAGGTTGGTAAACACTGGTTTATACAGTGTCAGAATGCAGCAAAACACTATGTGGTAATACATCATTTTTTTAGCATCAGCACTGGCCTGTTCAAAGAATAGTCTGTCGTTTCCATGGAAACCATCACCACCACCATCATCATCATCATCATCATCATCATCATTATCTACTTTGCTTGGCTATTGTATTGTTGGATGTACCTTTCCCACAGTGGATTAATAGTAATCTACAAGTCACGTGACTGCAAAAAAAACCCAAAAAAAAAACAAACAATTATTTAACTGCTACATTATCAAATGCACATTTGAGCTAACGCCATTCGATGCACGTCATAGATTCCAGTAGTTGTATTTTTTTCCATGGGTGGGATTAATTCACTTGTTACATCCTGTTGACTCTTGCACACGTCTTTCCTGCACTTTCGGCAAAAACGCATTTGTTGCAATAGTGGCTTTTAGCCACAGACCCGACTCATTTAGTGGGTTTGCTGCATTAGCTCGCTCGCGGGCGCTCACACTTGCAAACACGCACGTGCACGGGTGTGCTGTGTCACACATCCTAATGAAGCACCAGTTACACATTCCCGATAACAGATTGTTGTTATGATGCAAGAATATGATGGCTATATATTGTTTTTTTTCTCTGCATTGAGTTGACTTCTGAACCATTTGTCAAAGGCTCATATTTTAAAAGGTTGGATTTTTATTAGGCTGTCATTGTCCTGTTTGAATTGGGATGCTAGAGGGTTACGCTGACAAGCTGAATATTTACCTCATCAGGGTCATTAGTGTCATATTTTTCACAAATCAGACTTTGACACACAGCAGAAAGTAAAACAAACAATCATGATTTACATGTTTTTAATCTGAAGTGGAATTATCTTTCCTCAAAGTATATTTTTCTTGCATTTTTTTACATGTCGAGAAAAGCTCCATATTAAATTAATCTGTTGTTTGAAGTATTATCAGCGGTAGCTTTGTGAACTTCACATCAATGGAAGATGCTATTTTTTTTTTCCAATCACAACATCGGCCGAGTCAAATTCTGTTTTGAGTATATTCCGTGGACCGCAAAAAACAGATGGTGGCCCTCATATAGCCCCCAAGCCATAGTTTGAACCCCTAACTCATAAACTTTGAGCACGACTGATCAGATTCTCAAGTCCTTTGTTATTAATTGACGATTTTTGGGGGGTTTTTTCCGCGGCTTGATCAGGTGGTTGCGCTTGGCGAGGTCCCCGATGGCACCATGGTGACAGTGATGGCAGGCAACGACGAGAACTACTCGGCGGAGCTTCGTAATGCCACGGCTGCTATTAAAAACCAAGTAGCCCGATTCAATGACCTGCGCTTCGTCGGCCGCAGCGGGAGGGGTATGCTGTTGTTTACTTGTGCAAACCTACACCTCATTTCTGCAAAAAATGCACAGTACACCGACATATACACACGGGAAAGGGCAAGTGAATGCAAGTTAGTATTCAAACGAACTTCCTGGTCGAGCCATTCCCCTCCCCCCCTCTGTTACACACACACACACACACACACACACACACACACACACACACACACACACACACACACACACACACACACACACACACACACACACACAAACAGTGCACGCGCCCAACTGTTAGGCAAATAATTGAACATATCTATTTAAAACAGCAGTGTGTGTAGGTACAGTATGTGACAATGTGTTTTAAAATCGAAAAAGAAAACAAAGAGCTTTTATCTCCACACGCGCAAAGCAGAATACAAGTCTCCCGTGCTTGTATTTTCCCTTATAAACGCCATCATTTATGGACAAATGCTGGAAGATTTCGCCAACTTGTGGCACCTGTGATTTGTTGTGATTTGCAGTCCAGGACGATGGGACAGCATTTCATGATTGGATTCCATGCAACATGGTTGTGTAGCAGTGCTCACAAACAATGTTTCAACACCTAAATATTCTTCCAATATATTCACAAATAAAATTTGTCTTGAAAAGTTAACTTAGATCTCTGACTTAAAAAATTTAGTTAAAAAATGTTAACCAGTGTTTCTACGCTGAACACAACTGTATCTATTTACGTAAAAATGTCTTTATTTAGTTATACACATACAAACAACTACAGCCAATGGAGGACGTCTACTGTTGCCTATGAATTTATAATGTGATGTAAATTACCCGGGTAATATTCATCCTTGTATAACATTCGTTTGGAACATTAAAAGATACCACAGGCATTTTATCCCACCGGAATGTACAACGCTGCTTCAGAATAATTCAAATGATTGCATATTTTGCAAATGCGAACACAACACAAAAGTGGTTGACCAAAAGATGACGAAAACAAGTCAGCTGGCAATTTGTTCGACTGAACACATACACATTTGTAAACGCCTCTGGTAGATCTGTTGACGTAACGGTGATGAAGGAAAGATGAACTTACTCATCATTAGTCAGACCTTCCCGTTTTGCAGAAGTTGTTTCGCATAAACTGCTTGATATTCGTGTAAGGTCTTGTCAAATGTACTGACCATATAGTTACTATTTATTTTAATTCATTACTTCATTTTTTTCCGAACATGTTTCAGCTGTTCTCTTCAATAGCTACTAAAAAGGGGCATTGTTGCACTCTCATGCAGCTAAATAAGGTAACTCAAATAGCTGTCGCACTTAGCAAAATACGACAATTGCAACAATTCCTTTAATCCATAAAAGGGTGTTTAATGTTATATTGTTTGGCATGCATTTCAGTACATAAACATGGTAAAAGTCAAGTGTTTATCTTGTGACATTTCGTAAAGGGCTGCATGTTGTATTGGATGTCCATATCGGACTATTAGTGTAAGTGTGTCGTCATTTTACTATTCATGTAAGATAAGAAGATAAGAAACCCTTTATTTGTCGCACAATGGAGAAATTCCCAATTACAGCAGCAAAATTATGAACGGGAGAAGTAGAATTACAAAAAGTATACAAATAAATATAAATGATAAAATATAGATAGAAGCATGTCAAAAATGCGTGAGTGGCCATTTCTTATTATATGAAAGAATGTGCCCAAACCTTGTCAAATTATTGAAAAGTTGTTGAGCTAAAGTTTCCCTTCATCAACAATGTATCAATAACACACACACACACACACACACAGAAAGACGCATACTTGAACCACCTATTTGAGACAGACGTATGGATTCAGCATGGTAGGAAATTAAACTGATTTTTGCTGAGTCATGTAGTGCAATTTTCTTCTCTTCCTCTGGATGGATAAAAGTTGGAAAGAGGGTTGCGTGTATGTTAAGGGACGCGACTAAAGACGCGTACTTGAACCGCCTATTTGAGACAGCCATATGCATGCAGCAAGGTAGGAAATTAAACTGATTTTTGCTGAGTCATGTAGTGCAATTTTCTTCTCTTCCTCTGGATGGATAAAAGTTGGAAAGAGGGTTGCGTGTATGTTAAGGGACGCGACTTCACTGCATAATTACGGCTTTTGAAAGGATGTCTGCAGGTCAAATAAAATGGGTTTGAACAATTAGAAGACAATTGAGGTATTTTTCCATTTTGTTTCATATCATCGCTTGCTTTCTTTTCCCCCTCCACTTTTCACAGGCAAGAGTTTCACCCTGACCATCACAGTGTTCACCAACCCCTCTCAGGTGGCGACATACCAGAGAGCCATCAAAATCACAGTGGATGGTCCCAGAGAGCCACGACGTGAGTAACAAATCAAATACCGTGTGGCACCCATCAGGGCTCTTTAAATGTCCATTACTTTCGGAAACACACCACATTGAAGCGATCGAGATCAAATGATTGCAATTCTAGTTGAAAGAAGTCTATTTGTTGTCTTGTTGGGTAAGCTCCAAAAACTTGGAATCCTTGCTTCTGAATTCTCAGTTACGTGAGTCACTGATGCAAATGGCAACTTCCTCTCTCACTTCAGCTCTGCTCTCCACAGTTAGTGCACGACTGTCGCTGGTCACTCACACTTAAACATACAAGTGCTCATGCGGATACAGTGAAGCCCCGCCTATTTGAGGTTCACGATTCACCACTTCACCTTTTGGTCTTTTTTGTCCGTGGAGTCTATCCTCAGCTATTCATCCAAAACCTTCAAAAACATGTATTTTTAGGGTTGTAATATGAGTTTGAAATGATGTGAAAGTGTTTTGTGATGAGAATTTGTGGTATATTTCCAATTTAAACTATTAACATGTGCAATTAGAATTACAAAGCCATGTCTAGTAAAAATGTAGTTCTTTGACACCATCTCATGATATCTGGGTGCTAAGGAAGTGTTGGTACGATACAGGACTTTACACACACACACATCCATTAGTAGCTTTGAAGTGTAACCAACACCACAGACATGTGCATGCGTGCATAAACATAAACGCACACACGAACAAAGCTGTATTAAGCTCTATAACGAAATCATCTCTTAGGTCATCGCCAGAAGATGGATGACATTAAGCCCGGCTCGTTGGCCTTTTCCGAGAGACTCACAGAGCTGGAGCAGCTGAGGCGGAGCTCCATGAGAGTGACTCCCCCACACCATCATCATCATCCTCATCCTCATCATTCTCATCATCACCATCATCAGCCCTCCGCTTGTAACACGCGTCAGTCGACGGCAGCGGCCACATTGCACTCGGCCACGTTCTCCAGCCCCGCGCACACCCAGATAGCAACTGGTAAGAACAACAACGTGACGCAAAAGATAGGGGCTCAGATCAAAAGTAAAAGCTGCTTCTGTCAGCAGACTTGATGAAACAATTTTCTTTATCACAACAAAAGCATGTCAGACTCAGATGAATGACACACAGACACAAAAATACATCAAACTTCATCTTTTCTTTTAATCATGTTCCCCATTCCGCGATGTCACACAAACACAAACAGTGTTTGTGTGGCATCGCGGAAGCTCACTGAGGCACTAAACGATGGTATCGTTTCCTCTTCTTGGCCGGGAAATGACGCTGAAAGTGTCAAACTAAAAGTTAACACACGTGCACAATATACGTCTCCAACAAAAAGGGAAGCCACTCATTGTTGTGTAACTTCCAGCCTGTCACACCTCCGGATTATCAAACTGTCAGGGTGTTGGACGTACAATCAATTCAATCAATTTCTCACAACAATTTAACAATATTAATCAATCCATATCAATGTGTGGCACTGTAGTTCTATAAAGGGAAAGCTGGACAGGTGTTTCATTTGGCAAAGATCAATTCTACGACATTCCTAGGAAATCACAACATTCTATCACTGGTGGGCTATTTTTAGAACAGGCCCACACGCTACTCATGTGGTCCTTGGTGGCTACCTTGTGGAATATTTCAAGTGGAATATTTCATC